AGTAACCACCAATTTCAAGCATTGGTTTCCTAAAGACAGGTCGACACAGCTGAAATATGCTTCTTAGTAAAAGAACCTGAATACCAAGCCCATGGATTTACAGCAATTCTAGCCTTTAAAAATGTTAAAGAGGCAAGTCTAGATGAGCGGACAGTACTGTACAAATTAAGAGCGACAGTCTGTTAATAATATTTTGTTAGAAATTTTCATTTAAACTATTAATTATTAACTTGGAGACTTGTGCAAGTCTACTCACAACTAGTGGTGTTCTGATTAATTGAAATAATCGAAGATTGGTCGCAGTGACCAAACGACCAAGCAATCGATCACATTTTCTCATAATGGAACATAAACGATTTTGGAACTACTGTTTTAGTCTTTGAAATACTCGACAAAGGAACATATCTTAGAAGTTGTCAGGGCCTGGAAACATGTTTATTTCTTAGAAAACTCACTTCAATAACTGAAAAGTCATGACTGAATATTTCTCTAAGACTCAAGGAAGTTCATGATATATTAGTCATCACTTTAAAGTAACAAGTTGCATCATGTTATACTTTTCTGCAGTAACAACCTGGATAGGAAAATCTGAAAAATGACGCTAACCAATTTTTTTCGATGATTGTTCGTTGGTAATGAAGCAATCATCAACTGTGAGATTTCAACCAATTCCCAACACTACTGACAACCTTACACTGTTGCAAGGCACATGCTGGTTGGCAGCTTTCCATTGTTTCGTTTCAGTTTCAGTGTAAATATGATTGACAGTGCAAACACACGGCTATTGTTGGTAGGGAAATCGACAAGACATGTCTTCAGACTCAGGTAAAAGTTTAAAAGTAGTTGATATTCAGTCTGATGTCTATTAGGATGTAGACATTTCTGGTAATCCATCTAAAACAAATGATGAGACAACATACTAACAATGAAATATTCTGTGACTTTAACTTTCTGTCCACATTGAAACTAGGGGTGACTATTGAGGGTAAACAACTATTGCGATAGCAATAGTACTATTGCAATAGTTTTTCTCTCCTTGAATTGTCTCATTTGAAGTCGGTTCCCAAATGAATGTATTGTTTATATGAAATAAAAACAAGTTGAAGTAGTTTCAGTCTCTGTCAATGAGTGACAAAAAACTTGAAACCCGGTTCAAGTAAACAGTTAAAACAAAAACTCAATGAAGCTGCAAGTCTGCACCCAAACATCCTGTATTTTCCGCTGAGCATTTATCAACTGAAGTCAATTACTAAACTATCGATAGTCACACATACTATTGATGCATCGATAGTTTTTCGTTTCTACCATCGATTAATTGCTATTGGAGCCTCAACAATTGCAATTCATTGATAGTTTGATGCACCGTTACAGCCCTAATTGAAACAATACTGCAGATTTCACAGCATAAGTTTTTGCAGTATTTGTCTTCTTGATTCCCTTTAGAATTTCTTGTGAAGTTTTGTCAGTTGTTTCCAACTTCTTGATGAGTTCTTCTAGCTGTCCCTTTCAACAGTCCTTGTTTTCCACAAACGAATTTGCTTTTATATCTCTTCTGGACACCTTGAACTTGACTGACTGAGTTTGGTTTTACACTATTCCAGCAACATCAACGCTTTAACCATTAGGCTACCCCACCCCTGGACATCTTGAGCTTCAAACACTGTAAATCACTTATAAACAAGTGATTTCTTCAGGTGCATAGACATTAAATAGATAAAGTGTAGAGTCCAGATATTTGTACTTTTCAAAACTCCTTTATGCACACAAGATCTTTCGCTGCTCAGTCTTCAGGTGTAAATGAAAACTCATACAATTTGCCACAAATCAGAAATACAAATCATTATCTATTTGCAAATATGTATGCTAAGCTAAACATACATTTAATAATTTAATTAATAATTTAGTTGTGGATGGACACAGATTTTGTCACGGAAACAGAACCAATACATCAGTCATCAAGCCTAGGAAACCCTTCAAGCTATTAGCTGTTTGACAACTGTTACGTGTAAGCTGTTTGACAACTGTACCCTGTTCCTATTAGCTGTTTGACAACTGTACTCTGTACCTATGAGCTGTTTGACAGAAGTAATGTGTACGCTGTTTGACAACTGTACCCTGTACCTATATGTTTGTAAATTGTTGATTAACACTGCACTAGGCAATATTCCAGCTACATGGTTACTGGTCCGGTGTACTGTTTGACCAAAGTAACCTGTAACTATAAGCTATTTCATGACTATCCATCATGGATGAAACATTTGCAATGGTCAAATACAACATGAAATGAATTTGTACCGGATTCTTTCTACATATTGGAATAATTACTTGCACAGCAATTTGTATATTTCCTATTTTACATGTAAATAAGCCATATTAATAACTTTCTTCCAACCAGAATAGTGAATTCAACAACTGAAGCAATGACCAAATTAAGCTAATAAATAGGTTCAAAGTGGCAAGTAAAGTGGCCGTAGCTGTACATTCTAATGGTGTTACCATGAAAGGGAGAGAACTCCAGGGATACTCCTGGCACGACATTGCTATCACATGCATTTTCATGGTAAGCATTGATAAACTAATAAATGCTTGAAGAATAAAAGAAAAAATGACATGTATCCATACCCAGAAAGTGTTTAGTCATCTAGTTTCTTTCATGTAGTTTTTTTCTTCTTTAAAACACACGAATAGAACTGTTAAGCCACAAAGTAACACTTTTGGAAAAGAATTTGACGACATGGAAATGGTTCCTAAATGAAGACAAACAACTGAATTAGGTAATCTGTATGAGATGTGCTGTAACACATAAAATATGAATGCAATAATCACTGAATTAATTAATACAATTGAATACATGCTCTCACTTGCAATATATAGCAGACAGAATCCAAGGATGTCACAGTAGTCAATGTAGCAGTTATAGGTTGATGGGTGTGGTCCTAGTATTATGAGTTTAATTTATATACTGATGCCTCACTTTGAAGTTCCTGTGAAGTCCTCTGATCATAACTTTATTCGTAGTCATGAGTGCATGTTGTTTTTTTAAGGTTATTTAGTTGTAGAAGCCATGCATCCAACTTCAGCATTTAACTTAAGTGATATTTCCTGTGTCATAATTGAAATATATGCTGCAATGTCCTAATCTAGAATAAATACTTGTGCTAATAATGAAATGAGTAATATAATGCTTCAATATATTACTAAAAGTCTAATGTTCTATAATTAAGACTGGTTTGTGTTTTCAAAATGAAAACAGGATGTAATCTTGAATGATCTAGTTTGTTTAACTTCAAGGCATGGACTTGATGGTTTATGCCCTTTGGCTTGATAATAATAACCTTTGTATTCAACAACATCACTAGAAACACCATCCTCGATAATCTCCAGGGTATACGTTACGATCACTCTCCACTATACCCTGGATGCATCCACGACTTGGCCCGATAATTATAATACCTCCCTTTGCTGGCTCCGCATTCTCACAGCAGACAATCAGCTAAGCCCCCGATACATCCAAGCTTGCCAGTGTCAACAAAGATAGCGGTCGCAGTCGCGAAGGTTTGTTCGCAGTACCACTCAGATTTTGGGGCAAATAATACACACAAATTGACAGATCTGAAACTTTCCCAAATATACTCCTTCTACATCTTTCAGAGTATCTCTGCATCAGTTGTGTTGCCAAGTTTAAATGGTTAGATAATTTAAGAAGCGAAAGTGAGTTGTGATTGGTTCGCTCAACTTCCCAGTGTAGACCCCTGATTGGATAAAAAGCCAGCCAAGGGAGGTAATAAAATTATCAGGCCAAGCCGTGGATGCATCCAGGGTATAGTTGAGAGTAATCGTAACATATACCCTGGAGATTATCGAGGATGTAGAAACACAAGTCTTCTTCACAAATCAGATCTGTTTACATATCTCAACATAATGCATGTTCCTATGCATGCCCTATTGCAATACTGAAAAAGAAACTCATGTTTTGCACAAGACATCAGCTTAAGAATGCTGAAAATGTCCCATGAACTATAGCCATCATAGTCTGTCTCACAGTCCCTGAACCATATTATTTTCCCTACAGCCTAGCCCTCCCTGCAATGCTAAAGCCCTAATGAAGCAAGTCTAGGTCTTCCTGGGGATCAATTTAAATGGGTTTATTTGTTACAACTCCGTTACAACCAAACTCATATATATTCAGAGACTAAGCGTCAGCTCATACCTATCGTTGTGGACTCAAATATAATGTATCCATAATGAGTTATAAGTTAATAAATTCAATTTGGTTCTCATGTTCACGGACGATAAGATCCGACAGTTGACACCACACCACGCACTACGAAAAAACAGCTAAACTTCCTAGAAGTACAATTGCCAGTCATGTCGAAAATTATGTCATGAACTGATATTGAAATATGTGGATGAACATCTTTTTTTTCGTGTGACAAAAGAGGAAACAAGATGTGGCGAAACTGGCCAAAGATATAGAGATTCAACTATTTCAAGTTAGACCTACTTCAACAACTTCAACAGGTGTCAAAAAGTTTCCAAGTTTTGTTGGGAGGCAATATATTCCAATAATCACAACAAAACATCGAATTTCGGTGACATCTTAACTTGCGTTTACAGTAAAATAGTAGAACAACTCAGAAACACATAATCAAAGGGATACTTACATAGTTACTGGCTATTTTCAAAGGAATCAACAGTTGCTAGTAAATCGTGGCCATTAGTAAACAAATGTCTACATTCGGGTAGTGTTGAAACTATCAACATTGAAATAAAGATAACATTATCGACAAACAGATTTATGAATAAATCATTCTTATATTGTACCAGGTTTAAATAACTCACTTTCCTACAGTATTTTCTTCATTTTAAAAGTAATGAGATATTGTTTTGGCAACTTAATTTTAACCCAGGAGGCCTCACATAAAATAAGTGGTGATAAATTACTATCATTTCAAGGTGAAGGTTGTTTTGCAAGGTTAGAGGTTATGTGAGTTCACGTTCCCACAATTCCCGCGAAAAGGTTCGAATCAGCTTAGCGCGCTTTCTGCAAGTGTACCACAGTCGCCGAGCTGAGCGACACGAATCATAGGAGGCTTTCGTGTGTTTTGTTTTACGCGCTGTAACGATACAGGGCGACACTGGATTGACATTTTCCCTTTCTCTTGGATTACCACTAAGCACTGACATTTTGTAGCCTATGTACAGTTGAGGATATGTTTTGAACACGATTGTTCACAAGTGATACCCAACTCATTCTGACAGCATCCTTGTTTGTTGTGGATAGTTTGGATTACCATTTGTTTCAACGATGGAGAGCGACACATCAGAGCACCGTCCCCATTACAGGAGTGAGTGTTACTCTGATTTCAGTCAGTTAATTGTTTATTGACAACCATATTCATTGACAACCATATTCATTAACTACTGTTAGTTTTACTAATTAGCTTAATTGCGTATTCAACGAACCTTGTATATTTCAGCCTTGGACGACTCTCGTCTCTCGGCCGATGAAATGGACGAGCAACGGAAGCTCAATATCGCATACGAATATTTATGCCATTTGGAGGAAGCAAAAGTGTAAGTTACTATTCAAATACCACTTGTCCGTTACAACTAAGAACATCACACGTAAGAAATTTGAAAGGTCTAGATGTCAACGCAACATCAGCTTATGAACTATTTAACATTTGCACGCATCATTGAACAGATCTCTTCTACGCACTAGTAAGCTCACTTAGGTGATATCGGATTGTACATTACTATGGACAGAAATAGTCTGACTTGCCTGAATAATAAGCAACAGGATTGTTAAACCACAGGGGACTTTACTGCAATAGCAGTTTGAATGACAACAGGTGTCAGTTGCCACTTTATTTACCATGACAAGTGTTAAATTGTTCTTCACTATAACTTACGAGGTTTAAAAAAAACTCTCTTAAGAGTAGGAGTTTTCAGTATAATCAAACCCCAATATAGGCCTCACATATAGGAGTCTTTGAACAAGTTAACAATGTATTTGTATTCAACAATGTTGAAAGTTTGACGTTGAATGAGTATGTCATCTTGACCTTGCAGGCACATCCCTTATGACTCATGATCCCGCATATTCAGAAATTGCATTAATTTCCATGTGAATTCATTTATTGGAAAGTTCCCTTTCATTTTAAGTATCTTTTTTGCCCTAACTTAAATAGCTATTCTCTGTCAGGAAGCTATTAAATAATGTGTAACATAAGCATACTGCATATTGATAAAAAAAAGTGATAATGTTTTAATTATATTCTCTTGACCGTTTTTATAGCCCCTTTGTTTTACTGAGACCTATTTTTAAATACTGTGTGTACATATTTAACATATACACACAGCACACCCACTAAGTTAGACATGAAAGTGTTCAGTGGTTATGTACTTGACACCCTCAGGTAACGGAACCACTCCCCTATCTGGCACGGGATCGTCTAGTTCTAGTTTCATCAAAATGTACAAAATAGGGAAGCATATGCAATGTGTATTTATATACAGATACTTGAAAATGGCTATATGTTGGTTTATGCTTGATATGATGACAATATATCAATCACTGTTGTATGCGATTGCCATGCAAGTACGACAGTGAAGCAATCATTCCCCCTGCCTTGAATGACACATGTCAATCTTGTCAACTGTTTAAGAATTGACACAGTTTCATCATTTCTTTTGAGAGAAGCAGATGGCTTGTACCGACATCCCCTTAGATGAGTCTGTATTTTACAGGAAGGTGTACATTTGTGACATTTAAAGAAACGTAAATTGGGGGCGGGAGAAGATGGAGATTTTTGTAGCAGGCAGAAGAAAAGAAAATTCTTTCTTCAGCAAAGGCATTCCAAACAGATTTATCTAGAAAGTCTGTAAATTATCATGAAGTAGCACACTGCCAGAAAATAGCTTGTAATCATTTGTGTATAATTTAGTAGTTCCTTCATGGCTTCTTGTCATAAGAGAAGTTTGACTGATTGAAATATAAAAGTGACCACCTTTTTTTAAATATACTGATATATTTCCCCCATTCTGACCATAACCACAAACACAGGCCATGTAGATTACATCTGTGAGAGTTGCTGCTATTATGTGTTCTGGTATGTATGCTGCTTGGTTGTGGCGGGATCATGTTTCCAGTGGCTTACATTTATCACTGACCTACATCTGTAGAATTGAGTTTTCATAATGCTACCACATCATATACACACTTCATTACAGTACTGCTAGTGGAACAAAGATTCCACTTTGGATTTAATTTTTCTATTTCATTTGGATTGTATTAAAAGAATTTGCTGGACCATGGTGTTCACATTCAACCCATCATTAAAAACATTCTATACTATTCACACTTTGCTAAGGATCAAATCATGGATTCAACAGAAAACCTATGATGTGGGGTCAAATTTGGTTTAAATATCTAAGCTTATTGTTAGCATGGATCCTAGGTTTATGTCACTGCATCTTGTTTATTTGTCAGTGACTCGTTCCATGATTTGCAAAATGGTTGATTGGTGCCATGAAAACCATTTTTATGGTTACTCATGTATCAGGTGCATAAGCTTAGATTAAGGTGACTGTTTTCCTAAAGAGGGGCTACCATATCATTATTTATCCAGTTTTAAATGGATATAATTTCAACATATAATTCTACGCTTAAGTAAAGTTGTGCATTTTTGTGATCCTTATCAAAGTGTGAGTAATATAAACACAACCCAGTTATTTGAAGTTGACTAGGTATAGAGACATCTTTTTCTTGTCCTTTATTTAATTACAGATGGATAAATGTAATGAAAGACCTTTTTAATGTGTCTGCTTATTTTATATCTAGCCTGTGAATGCTATGTGAGGTCACAGTTTTTTATATCCTTTACAGTGAAATCTGTTACTTGCTTTTATTTGCACAGTGTGTGGAGATGGCCCATGTCAAATATAGACTTGTATGTGCCGTGTGTGAAGGTAACGACTGTAGAGGTAACATAACGTCAGTACACCTCACCGTCACACAACTACTCATTCCTTCACACGCCTGGAGTGCCTGCAGTTGTTACCTGCAGGGGAACACTAGACCAGGTGTGCTGATGACGTCTTCAGAGACACATCTGTGAACTAATCTCATTGTCGTTTGGAAGCTCCAATTAATCAATTTCCTTTATGACTGATTGCTCTGAGTAGTTTACAGTCATTGAATTGACTTTGGAAGCTGTTATTATTTTATGTTTTCTAATTATAATTTTTATGAATTTCTGGGGTCATGCTGTCATTCAGTATAACTGATCAAGACACCTGACAAGGCTGAACTGCATTTGCTATTGGTTTGTCACCTATAGTAAATGCATTCATTTTACTGAGATTGCATGATTTCATTTATCCAGGTTAATTGAAGGATACTAATGTAAATGTTCAAAATGTATGAATATATTTCTCTTTTCATTCATCATTGATAAGTAAACAATTAAAAAATTTTCGACCTGAATCAATACTCCTTGTCTCTCAAGGAGTTAGATATGGACGTTTGTAAGAGGTAGCTGCAATGAAATGTTTTGTCTTATTTGGTATAAGAGACTGGGTGTAATGAGCAACAATGAAGATATTATCCAACTTACATTTACCAAATACTGTTGTCTTGCTTTGTTTTGAAAGCATAGGCAGTGTACATACCTTCTGCTTGTCATAACAGCTGACTCAAATGGTCATTCTGGGGGTTATGATTTGGTTGTTGTATTGTATGTCTTCTACCCTGGTGCTCAAGCTTTCAATCTTTAGGTGGTCTGATTCTAGAGCTGGTTATCGTTACATTTTGTCAGATCGATAATCGCTAGGGTTAGATTAATAATCGATCGATTATAATCGTTTGGACGGTCATTTCATAGTCAAATACCTATGTTAGCGAACTAACTTCCGGGATGTTGTCAGACGTGTCAATTGTTAACGCTAGCAAGTTACTTACATTTGCAGCGTCTTTGGATCATCAAGTATCCTATCGTCTTACGTTTCCGATCGTTATATGTTTTTGATCGGCCATAACAATTCCTGTTTATTGCGCGAAAACGCGAGAAAATCCATGAGAAGCATCCCGAATGACAACAAGGCAATCCCCGCTGTTGCTATCGTTCTGACATCGATATGCTACGAATCAAGTTTCCATGCGTAGGCAACAGTATAAAAAACCCACAAGAGATTAATTTTAACTCAGGGATCCTTAATGCAATATCTACCTCATAATCAAATGCACAAAAATCCTAAATCTTTACTCCAAAGATGCCATTAATGTTTCGTCTGCTTAGTTGACATCCCACCTTACAAGATCACGCTACGAGTCATGTGACCTCGCTGGTAGATATCTTTTCATGGCATGCCATTTTAGAAAAAAACCTTTTTGTTTATGTTGAAGGGTGAACAAAGACATTTCCTTAAGGTTGAAACACAAAATTTATTCTGGGAAGTATTATAATTTACCACTGTATCGAAAGTTCAAGAGAATTCATGAAACCGAAAATAGCTCTATTTTACCCGCCTTGCACAAGTCACGTGTTTGTATGCAAATGCAACTCAAGGGATTCCCTCTTACAGCCATTTAGAAAGTAGCTAACCTGTAATACCTGGGTCGTATTGTGACGTTTTGTTGCATGATTGGACGAATGAGTTTTGCACAGTTTGCTCATGAATATTAAATAATTTCTATAAACCACTTTACAACTCGTAGTATTTCAATGACGAAATAGGACACCCCAATCTAAATATATCTAGCATTGCCATTGGCTGACAGGGGAGGCATGCGCACTTGTGTACTACACAGCTTCCGTTTAAGAGGTAAACAAGCAATGACAACCAGAGTGTTCAGTATAAGAAAACATGACAAGGTAGAATAAAACGTTTTAATGTATGTGCATCCAAATAATGATTATTTCCGATTATCGATCTGCAGTTTGTTTGTAATCGACAATCGTTTATTTTGACTTAGATCGAACGATTAACCGATCCTACGATTAATCGCTCCAGCACTATCTGATCCTTTCAAAATTGGCTGAATATGGCTGTAATTTTACCCAGTTGTGCCAATAATAGCACAGTTCAGTCATTTTGAGACATGTTTGAAAGATTAATTTCACTAACTGGATAGAAAATGCAGTTTGAAACAGAGCTCCAGATAAGATTTAGCTCATGTGGGTACTGTACCCACTGTATTTTTTTGGAGTGGGTATTATGAATGTTGAGTGGGTATTTCATTTTCCGTTACCCACTGCTTTCAAATATGTGCATATTTCAGTCACTTTACTCACCTAAGTATTACATCATTGAGTAAGTTTACTAAGCAGGTATGTTCTGCCTTATGTCATACCTAATCAAAACCAACTTAAATATAATGGAAATTATTTCATAAAAAATCACTCATCCTTTACTGACAATACAACACTTGTCCTATACTAACAGTACAACTTGATAGCAATCGATGCCTTTTTCATTACGCAAGCGATTTTTATAAATATATTCCGTACGCATTTGTTTTAAACTTTTTGCGTATCTAACATTTTAAATGCGTAATTGGTACGCAACAATTA